CCTTAATGTACTTCTTCTTGAGCCACTCTTCTGTTACTTTGGCAGTGTGTTTTGGGTCACTATCATGCTGGAACACCCATTCACAATCCATCTTCAGTGTTCTGGCAGATGGTTCTCATCCAAGATTTTACAATACATGGCCCCGTCCATTGACCCTGCAATGCAGCAAAGTCAGCCTGTACCTTTTAGCAGAGAAAAAGCCCCAAAGTATAATGTTTCCACCTCCGTGCTTGACTGTAGTCAGCATTTGTTTTCCTCCAAACATGGCGAGTCAAGTCAATGCCAAAGATCTCAATTTTGGACTCATCTGACCACAGAACTTTCTCCCAATCCTTCTCTGAATCATTTAGATGTTGATTGGCAAACTTCAGATGGGCCTGTACATGTGCCTTCTTGAGGAGGGGGACCTTGCGGGCAATACAGGATTTCAATCCATGGCGGCATATTGTGTTACCAATGGTGACTGTCTACCTGGGAGTTCTGAAACAATGCTCTGCAAACCACACACCTAGTTCTCTGCCCTGTACATGCCTTCACTCCTATTTATTTCCCCATCCCCACCTGCAGCCTAAATCTGTATCTGTAGTGCATGTTCAAACCTTAATATAAATAGATAACATGTTATTAGATTTTTACTCCAGGATTATATAATGAGTATAGAAATTCTGTAGAAATGCTTAAATAATGCATTACAATTTAACTAAACCCATTATATTTTAGTTGACTAAAATGTACTGGAGATTTTAGTCTACTAAAATACGACTAAAACAATTCAAATAACTAAAATACTACTAAAACTAAAATGGAATTTTAGTCAAAAGACCATGACTAAATCTAAATTGAAATTTGTTGTCAAAATACTGGATACGAGTACCATAGCGCCACATCTGCGGCAGTTGCACACACGCCCAGCATGCCAGTGTATAGTGCGCACCAAACCCCTTGAATACATGAATGCATGGTGCAGTACTTGAATTTTTTCTCTTCGGCTTCTCAGAATAATTGGGTCTCTACGCTCCCTATAGCTGAGTTAGCTTTTGCACTCCCTTGCCGTCTTTGTTCTTTGCCCATTATGGATTTCATACTGCCTCTGTTCCTGGTTGTTCTATTGAATCTTCAGTTCCAGATGTGAAAGACAGAGACAGACGATGGACTGACAAGACGAAGAGGAATAGTCCTTCCTTTAAACCTGAAGACTTGGTATGGCTTTCTACTACTGCCAGCTTCATTGACCCATTCCCTATTCAAAGAGTCATCAATCCTCATGCCTCTAGACTTGCTAGTATTGCCAGTATCGAGCTATATTACACTTTGTTTGTACAGGTGTACTGTCCTTGTTAATGTTCACTATGTAGAAATCTATGTGAAAGATGTTATTGAAATGTCTGTAAAAGCTCTATAAACGTTTTGGGAACGAAGAATCTGTCTAGTATTACATGTGTCATGCTTGAAGCCAGTGTCTCCAGTTTTCCATTAGGACATCTGGTGGATGGCAGTGAGGAATTCAAATTTAGGCTGATGGTGGATTCCAGAAGATTGGTAGGGCGTCTTTGGTATCTTTTCAACTGGAAGGGGTTCAGCATAGAGGAGAATTTGTGGGAACCTTCCAGCAATGTCCATGCAGCCAGGTTGACCAAAGTTTTTCATTGTGCTCACCCTGAGAAACCCAGCCCCAGGGGTATCCGGAGGTCAGATCGTGGCCTTTTAGCTATGACCAGTTGCACTGCGCCTCAAGTTTTCCACTCTGGCATACACACAGACTAAAGAGGATATTTAAACTTGCTGTTTTATGCTGTCTGGTTCTGTGACTTCTTGCCAGCTACCTTGTTCTTTTGTTCTTGACATGCTGATTTCTGCCTTTCTTGTTGAGAACATAGATTGCCTGAATCTGAACAAATCTCCTGCCCTCGTTGCTGTTTCATTCCTGTTATTCTTATCTGCTGCCTGCCTTGACATCTGCCTGGACACTGACCACTCTTGCCTGCCACATGTCTCAACCTCAACATAGGGCAACTATAGCACTGCTAGTGAAAATGTTATGAATACCCCTAATTATTATTATTATTTATACAGTATTTATATAGTGCCAGAAGGTTTGCTCAGTGCTGTACATTATAGAGGGGGACAGAACATGAGACAATACAGTAACAAAACAATACACGAGGGGTTCGAGGGCCCTGCTCTTTCGAGCTTACAATCTAGGAGATTCTGTTTAGTACTCATAAAACACATGTCTGGACCTCCCCACCAAAAAAAAATGTATGTTACACTTGGTGTTCTGCTTCCAGAACCTATTTAGCAAGGCAAGCTTCCTAGAATGGTAGGTAAAAGGTAAACATGAACTTCATCCTTTAAAAAAAAAAATTAAAAGTCAGCAGCTACAAGTACTTTATCGGGATTGCCAGTTGCTGCAGTCCAACGCTGACTGGCCCATTCCCACCAGCATCACACATACTGAATATGCGGTGTCACAAAGGTGGACCTTCTTCCGGGATACTGCATATATGTGCACCTATGTTTGTTTTGGAAATGCGTACATAGCACAGGGACTATGAGCTCCCAGTTTTGTACACACAATTGCTGTGATAACTTATGATTGGTTATCACAGTGATCACTCAATGTGAAACTCACCCCTGGTCTCTCTTTATGCTCTTAGTGAAGAATAATATACATTGTATCTTTTTCTACTAGCCAGAGGAGAAGGCTACACTCACAACAGCAATTTTGGCCAATGCGAATTGTAGCAGCAGGAATTAGGTAGGTTTGGCCACTGACCCCGTTTACTATAATGATAGGTTGGCGGCAGCTGTAGCTATCTGCAGCTCTCTGCTTAGCCAGCCATTACCTACGGTGATTGTTGCTGGATACAATAATCGCTGGTGTGAATGAAGACCTAAGAATCTAAACAAAAAATAAAGATCTGTGTGAGAAGAAAATAAAAGATAAAATAGATCATGGCCTGATTCAGGTTAGTATCAGGGGGTCAGTGTTAGTGTCATGGGTGGGGTGATAGGTCAGGGTGAGGATTACAAAAAAAAAGCAAAATGAGTACTTTGAGTTCTTGACACTGCTACAGTTACAAATAAAATACATGCATGTGGCATGCCCAGGAACGTCCCTAGTAGGAGAATTTAAAACATTAAAAATCTTTTTCTCTATTTTGGGCCAGTTTTCCTTTTGATAATAAAAAAAAACGGAAATATTCATTAATATTTTCCACCAAATGAATGTCCAATTTATCCTGAAAAATCAAGGCATAATTCACCTGGATATGCTAAGTAGTTGCAATCATATGTACAGCTTTACTAACAGATGCCAAAACTCAATGTTCAGGTGTTGAGGTTTGTTTTACATTCCATCATGAAGTTAAGCCTCCCCTAGGAGGAATGGGCTTTTGCAATCCCTAACCCTTGGCTGTATTGTCTGGCTGCATAGTTTACACCATTTTGGTGGGCAGCATTCATCTATTTCTAAAACGTATTTAACTTTCTACTTTCAATTTCTGTCACAAAATCTGTCTCGATATGAAACTAATTCTGAAATATCAGGGCTGTAGTGAGCTTAACCCCTGATATGTCAATAAATCGTTAAGTGATTCAATACAATCTGAAGGCTTAGACTTGTGGAAAGAATGCTGGTATTACCTACCAGTCACAGTTTTGCCTTACTGATACATTTAGATCTTTCCAGAGGAGTCCTGCTGTTGGAATACAATGGCACAGCAGGGAGGATTCCTCCATCCACCTCACATGTGTGGATGGGGAAATCTGTCTGTGATTTTTTTTCAGTCAGCCAATTAGGTTATCAAAAAAAAATGAATCTCCTATGGCCAGCCTGAGTCTTTTCTCCCAAGTTCTTTTTAGATATCCTTAACTTAACCATGCTCTTACTAGTCAACAAAAGCTCAGACCTTACAATATACAAAATGGACTTGCATTGGTTCATAGCTAAATCTCTTTAGTCTAATATCTAAAACATATAACCCTTTACTTGCCAGAGTTAATTGCCCCTTTTATACTATCCTGTAGATAAAAATGAATACAAGACCTGAGTTCCCTTATGGATCAAATTCCAACCACTTTATAGCTGATTCACACATGTGCGGTGCGTATTGAAGCTCAGGTTTCACAGCTAATTTATACGGCAGTTGTTCAGCAGTTCATGTCAGGTTTACATCAGGTATAGGACAGGATTCGCTCATGATTTTATCCTGTTCACACATATGTGGTTTAGAAACAGTTTCCATAAAAGTCAATAGCCTGTAATCCACACACCTGAACCTGAAGCCACTGCTCAGAAATCAGACATTACTCTTTTTTTTAAACCACACTGAATCCGCACTGCCAGTGCACTGGACATATGTGAACAGACACCATAGGAAGCAATTTTTTTTCATATGTCACACGGATTGGATACGGTTCAAACCACATCCAATCCGCATATATGTGAACCGCCACTTATGCTAATTGTCATGGATATGTTGGAAGTCTACCTTTGAATTATTTATGACAAGACATGTAATGGCTGCAACTAATGTACTGTAAATGACGTTTTCTCTTTACTTTCTGTCTTTCCACTTTTCTGTAAAATAATATATGAAAAAGCTGAAGAACATTGTACTTTACCAATAAATATAAAACAATTGGGACTGGTATACATTTTGAACACATCCTATAACTTGCTCCCCAAAAGATCAATACACACAAAGTTATGAAGTATTAGCTTGTATTTATGTAAAAAATATGTAATCCCACCATATGTGCCTATCTAGTCTCACCCTTTACAGAGTACTAAAAACAATGCTTATTATTATTGATGGTCATCCATGTATTTCCTTATATTTATAAGTTTGAAATTCAAAGTGATTCTGCTTTTATGAAGGTAGTTTTGGTGGCTTTCTTTAATTTTATTGAAAATAGAGAAACTGATATGCTTGGTTTATTAATGGAGCTGGTATGTGCAAAGTTTTCACTGCTTTTTGTTTTGTGTTCTTTTCCAGAGAATGGCCGAATTAGTCTGCATGATGTATCCTGCTATTTTTCCTTACTGGAAGGGGGGACTGCTGAAGACAAACTGGAGTGTAAGTTCCATTTTTGACACCCGTCTGATACAGACTTGTTGAGTATACCAATAGACAAAGTGTCAATATGATGTCATCATGTAACTTCAAGGCTCTCATCATTCGCATCGGGAGCCTCCACATGTGTTCTGTGCTCTGTGCATTATGTACCACTTGCTTAGTTTTGTTTTTTTCTCCTGCACATTGCAGAAGAAGATATCAGCCACTTTATTGTCAGTTACATTAATGCTAACCCATAATTCTGTTTGCATTGATATCCGATTTTCATATGGCTGACTGGTATGGAGAAAAAAACCCCCAGATGACAAGGAAAATACATATGCTAAGTAATTGAGTAGGGCAACCCTATTCCAGTATACTATTTGTAGTAGACAAGAGGAAAATATGTTTTCTCTTCAGCTGTTTATTTGAAGAAGGGTAAATTCAAAGCCTTTCAGCTGAAAAATGTCATGATATGATATCACTACTGCTAAAGAGTGACCAGCGGCTATTTAATGTTTGACAGCAGCAAGCATACCATAAGTCATGGTATTTGGCATCTCCATATAAAATAGACATTTATTTCTCAAGTTTCTATTAATGCCTGTAAAAGACAACTGGCATCAGAGTATTATGTATTTGGATGGATATAATTAATCACTGACCATTGATCAATAGAATGGTTTGTTTATAATTGATCACTGTAAAAAAAAAAGGTTTTACAAGCTATATAAATCTTATTAACCTAAACTCCCCTAGCACCAATATACAGTATATAGTGCAAATATAATGCTTTGTTACCATTCTACCAGCTACCTAAAATACCTAGATTGCTTCCCAGTCTATTCCGTCTCAAATCACTGATGATCAGGTTTTGCAGATGAATACGGCTGCTACTGCTACAACATACTATATGTTCATAGGTATCCTTCCAGTACTCAAAAATCTGATCTAATTTTTTAGAGCTGCTGTCTTGGTTAGCTTGGATCAGAATGGACCTGCCTCTTTGTGTTAGAGACTATATATACTATATGAACAAGTGCCAGTTTTGAATGAAGTCACAGTTTGCCAATGTTTGGGACTTCTGAAGGCATGATACTCAACAGAATATATTGAATAACATACCACCTAGGGAACAAAGAGGATTGGATTACAAAGAGATTATAAATACATTTCAGGATTTATACTTTTTTGGGTGGTCTTCTTCAGGGTAAATAGAGTATATTTTGTCTTTTTTAAAGTGCACCTGTGCCCAACCATGAACGTTAAAGTATTCTTAAAAATTGACAAAGGAGTTTTAGAACCTCTGTCTGACCTCTTTGAAGAAAAGACAAAACAGCTGCACATTGCTGGAATAAAGCTTTGATATTAGATACATCATCAAAGACCTTAGCCTTGGTCCTTGCCCAAAAAGCACTCTAATGCTGTGCACCAATCAAGTCATAGAGAATGGAGGATATTTGTTGTTTCTGCTTGACCTCTGTTGCTGCAAGCATTGTGTGGAGAGTAATTCATCATCAAATATCACAACAGAGAGTCTGAAGTCAGATTTCAGTCAATATCTTTACAATAATTTGTATTTTAGAGTTTTGCAAAATACAAAAGCAACAGTTTGTACACAAGGAAACACTATCAAAACACTGTTTTTAGGACAACTGAACAGGTGAATATCCAATACCACAAAGTTGTTCATTTGGCAAGCAAAATAAAACATAATGTGTAGTGATGTTTCAAAAGTACATTGAAAGAAACCACCCCAAAGTGGAATGTCTTGTGGGTGCAAGCGGGGTGTACACACAGAGAAATACAATAGAGCCTCTGTGGTAGGGAAACCAAGAAACAAAAAAAGCATAGCAAAGAGCATAGAGAAGAGAGAGAAGAAATGAACCAACGCTCATCTAGGTAGAATTCCAAGGTCCAGGTAGGACATGGAAGTTTGGACCTAGAAAAGCCCATTGTATAAGACCTAGACATTGAATAGAGTACGATCAAAGTCCGCTGGCATATAGTGCAAGATCCAGGGCTCCAAAATGTTGTACTAGCAATGGTCTGTTTTGCAGAAGTAAAATGTGAGAAGGTAAATGGAATTCTGACTACAGTAAACTGTCTTTTTACCCAAAAGAACCTCAACTGGCTGCTTTCACAAGGGTCCTTCCATGATGATGTAGATAAATTGGTAGGTACAAGACCAAAAAGAACATCTTTTTGGGCACTCCCACAAGATACAATGTATCTAAACATGTCAGCCAAGGTGCAGCCACTAAAGCAAATAGGATATCCTGGAATCGCACAACAAAGGGGATAGGGTACCAGATACCATCCCATTAACATTTTGTAATCTGTTGCAGTAGATAGGACATTAATGGACTTCTTTGAGGTATTGGACCGTATATCTTGCCAGTCCTCTAAGGAGATAGTGACCTCAAGATCAACGGTCCAGCTAATGGTGTATTTAGGCTGCAAATAAAAACAAGACATCAGTATTAATGGGTTGATAGTCATAATAATCCCTAAGGGAGTCAGTGTTAAAGATATGCTTAAAGGTGTCAGCTGCAAGGGAGCATCAAAGTTGCGTAACAGAGTAGTCATGGTATGCTTAATTTGTACATAACGTAAGATTTCTCTAGGTGTTATAGCATATGATTCTCTGAGAGATTCACACAACGTAAGTACAGAGGCATGTAGAAGATCATATCCTATTTCAGTCAATTTCTAACAACTTACAGCTCCTGTGTTTACATTAAAGGGGGGGTAGAATGCTAGAAAAAATAAGGGGAGAGGAGCTGTGATCTCAGTGCTTTTATTGTGAACTTTGAAGATACATTTCTCCACAGTGCATGTAGATACAGAAGTTGGTGAGGGCTTTATAGGCCTTGTTGCTTGTTAGCAATAAGTACAGTAAATAATTTAATGTTCGTAGTCTTGGCACAGGTTGAATTTAAGGTTTGAAGAGAGCTTGTTCCAATAAAAGAGCCAGGGTATAATATGTCTTTAAATGTTTTCATTTATCCAGATTATGACACAGATAATGTCATTTAGTCACATTCATCTGTAATTACTATTAGCCAATCCAGGGTGATCACAAGAACATTATTTGATACTTTAAAACAGTAATTATCAACCTTTTTTCAGTCAAGGCATTAGTTAAAATTATGGACAGTCCCAAGGCACCCGTTAAAATTATGGACAGTCTTGAGGCACCCTATTCTAAAATGGGGTGCCTCAAGACTGTCCATAATTTTAAAAGGGCACCGTAAAATGTGAAAAACTATTCTAAACTATTTTATATAATGCAGCAACACCCACGCATGTAGGACAGCCAACGACGGAGGTGATTTATTCTTCCAAAGCAAATACACTTTTGCAGACTGGTACTGAGTAGTATTCCAGTGTTTCTCTTCTCCCCCAGTTTTTCTCCATAACTGAGCTAATGATGAATAAATGAGCATAACTGATGGAGAGGAGAAGGGGAGGGTCAAACAAGGATGCTGTGCAGGCACTGACATCCTCCTTCTCAACTGATGGTGTCATTGGCTGTCAGGCCGGTGGCTAGAAGGTCGTAATGGTGCACAATGAAAACTTGTGGCTTTGTGTAACTAAAAGGCAGGTTTGTTCCACCCGCTGACTTATATACAAGTTTTGGGCAAGTATTAGGCATTTTTCCAAGGCACCCCTGAAGAAACCTCAAGGCACCTCAGGGTGCCTGGGCACCCTGGTTGAGAGAGGCTGCTTTAAACTATAGCTGAATTACAGTATATTCATAATCATTTTCTGTCACCCATTTGTCAATGCACGTAGGCAGAGGTCAGTCTCTGATTTGCACCAAGTTATTGTCACCTAGTTGATAACACTTTTAATTGCCTTTGATAATTATGCCCTCTCATTTTATTTAGTTCCCTTCTGTGTACATAACATTGTTTTATTAGTCAGGGGTTTTAACCTTGGGTTTTCCCTCAAAGAAAGGTACTATAGACCATGTTTCATCTTTTCCTTCCTTTGACATAATTGTTAAACATGACCCTACCTGTAGCATAGAACTTGTCAGGATACTTTCAGGGTCACCAAGACATGCAGGCCTCTCAATTACTGCAAGGTATCACATCCATCTGAGAGCATTTGAAATCTCTGGAGGCACTTAATGCAGCCATTGAATACATTCTACTTTTCACTTCAGCATAGTCCAGGGAAGCTCACATATTGATTTTGTGTGGCTCAGTAAACATACAGCCTGCAGGTCTCTTAGCCTAATCTTTCATCCTGTGAAGCCAGGCATAATATCACTTGGCACTGCTCAAAGTAGATTTTAAACATCTGTCTGCTGAGAATCAATGTTTGAACAGCATTGAACTTTGCATCATTTTACAATGTTCAGTGTTTTTTCTGCCTTTACCTTTTGCAGTTTTTGTTTGGCCATTTGGCTGAATTTAACTTAAGACAGTTCTTAGTAGTGATAGCAGTAAAAGTAACTGTTCTTGAGTTAGTGATAGTATTGTCAGATAGCTAAAATGCTTTCCACTGAATTAATTCAAAATGAATGAGCTAAAATGCACAGCAAAGCATGCCCAAATGGGGCAGGCTGCATTTCATCCCAGCACAATGCACAGGACACCATGTCACACTGCACTGCTCTGCAGTGCACATGCATTTTGTAGATGAGTTGGGGTGCCATTCATAATGAATAGCACTACAGTGCATCAATACATTTTAAAGCAGTTGTAAATTAATTTGTTTATTAAAATAAAAAGAGGCTATATATACTTGCTGTGTGTAATGTTATTGCACAGATCATCCCTTACCACCTCTTCTGTGGTCCCTAGCTTGCACTTTCCACTCCTCTCCTGTGTGTGCCCCTGTAGCAAACCGTGTGCTATGGGGGCACATGTGCAGGTGTACTCCCGAGCTGGGCTGCGTGCATTCATAGACGCACACAGCGTGACTCGGCCACATCCTTGCTCCCTCCCTACAGGATTTGACTGACAGCAGAAGGAGCCAATGGCTCAGCGGGTGCTAATCAATGCATC